TCATAAGGGGTGTTTTTCACATTTTACATAAAAACCACGCACTTTGGTGAAAAATTTCATCGGAGCAAAGTTGTAGACCTGGGTATGAAACAGATTTTCCAGATACCCACCGTTTACGCTGCTACAGTGCATGCGCGGAAAGTGGGAGTCATTTTTTACTTCCCTCAATAAGAGGGTATTGTAATCGTGAAAAAGTCACCCTCCGAGATTACTTCAAATTTTCACGTTTCAGGGTCCCTAGATTACGAAAAACATGTTTCCCCATTCCGTCGATCTGTCTTCAAATTTTGTATACAAATAAAGTTCCTTTCTGGATAAAAACCAGTTATACTTCCGGTCAGTTATATTTAGGGTGAGCAGTTTTATAAAAAATATTTTATTTTTAAAAGTCAAAGATAACAGATCCCAAATAAGTTTTTAAAAATTAAAAAAGGACGTTGGAAGGAATAATATTTAATCAAAAAAGGTCCTTCTCGAATATAAAGGATCATCAAAATTAAATTTAACACTTATTACATTCAACTACACCTTTTAATTAAAGAAAATCACTTAAAAATGATTTTTGATTAATACGCAGCTGAAACAAATGTTCGAATAATAATAATAATAATTATTAAAATAGCCAGTTATTAATAAAAAATAATATAATTTATTGTAGTACGCCCGTGGGAAACGTGACGTAGAATGCTCGAAATTGACAGTATAGCGTCCAAATTGTTATGCGTACCGACTGTTTTTTCACCCATGGCTTAGAAATTAGGAGTAGGGTTTATGTCATATAATACGAGGCAAGAGAGAGGTCCGACACGCCCAACATAGGGCGCGGCCATTTTGAACCCTGTGACACAGTTTACAGCTAAAGAATCAGATCGCTCACTCTGCGTCGGCACTTTGGATCTCAATATTTCAGTTTATACACTGTGCAACTCGGATAATACAATATATGACAACCGCTTATAATAAAACAGCAGTCTTCTGCGTATCCTGAATTTGTATTCCAGGAGTGGATGTTATTTTGGAACTTTCAACTGGTCCGAGTGAGCTAACTGATTCTTTAGCAATAAACTGTGACTTCAAAAATAATATTCACTGACACTGACAGCAGCAAGCAAAATATCAGGTGCGTTTTAATCATCCGCTTCTGCTTCCGGAATTGTCGGTTTAGTCGTTTTAACCTGTCAGATTAAAACAAGAAAACTGACAATTCCGAAGCAGAAGCGGATAAAACGCACCTATTAAAAATATTGCGCCAAGATGTAGGCAACACGTAATAAGGGTTCAAAATGGCGGAGTTTTCTATCTCCTTTTAAAAGGCACTCAGAAAGCTGCGCAGTGCGACCATTCTCCGTATAGTAAAAGAAAATCAAAGTATGTGCATATAGCCATCTAGTTTAATATCAAGGTCGGTGGTTTAAATCCGAAAAACTGAATGAAAATAGGCCTTTTCATCACAAATTTTTTTTGTGTGCATGCGTCAGTAGCAGCCATCTTTTTCGTAGTTTTTGTAAAAAAAAATTATAATCGACAAATATTATTTTAAGTATATTCGTTTAAAAAAAGGAAGAAAAAGCAAAGCAATAATAAGTTTAGTGTTTTAATTGAAAAATACATTTTTGCAATCAATTATAATAATTATGTTATCTGTACGAAAAGGAACAACAAAACGGTGTTGTTATGGAGTATGTAAAAGTGACACACTAAAGATACTTATATTTGTTCACTACATTTTTATGGAGAAAGTCCAACAAAAGAAAATTCTTATCTGGTATTACACAATATTTTTTTAATATTAAATACTACTTCGGTATACATAGTAATATGATTAAAAATGTCATGTTGTTCCTTAAAATATTAAATAATGTATTTTATTAATTATACTCGTGATTAACTTTCATGTTAACTAAAGTGTTTTTGCAAGTACTAATAGTTGGTTGGCATAATTAATTAGAATATAGAAGTATTGATACACCTAACCTCTCAATCAGTCCACTGTTTTCCTTTGTAGAAAACGTACAAGACGCTTCAACCACCTTCTCACAACTATGATGTGCTTCCACAGAGTTATAAAAAAGTTAATCACCATCAACGATTTTTTCTAATGATTGATTTGTCTGTAGGAATAATATTGCTTTCCCAGCCATTGTCGATCAAAACAGTACGAAACATTTGAATTACCGCTATTTCAAATGGTGGCTGCGCTTGCGCTTATTACATGATGAAAAGGTCTATTTGAAAATTCGAGACGCTAAAATGGTGGTTTCTACCTTATCGAGACTGAGGCCCACAAGGGTAAACTCGTAGCGCAAAAAACACGAGAAACGATTTAACTTGGAACGAAAGACCGAAAGCCGATAGTAGTATTAAGACGTTGAATTTTTGTGATTTGTGAAGCATTAGCATTACTTAGGTCATACCATGTGATGATTTTGATAAGCTTTGATTTTTTAAACCATTCTATATCGCTTTTTGATTAGGGTTTACAAACTTGTTTATCCAATAATAATTGTCCCCTTTACCTCTTAAGCCTGCTCATGTAAAATATTTGGGCTCCTTACTTCGCCTATTTATCTAAAAATATTTGGTCTCATGCGAGACCGGGAGTCGTAAGTTAATTGGGGATTTCATTTTCGGAATATCCAAATTTGCTTTCAAAAATTGTAGTTGCAACATTATTTATTGTGAAATTTAACATATTTATTTTCTTTGTATACGAACAATACGAAAAATTGAACTTTTTAGCACTGGGCATTGGATGGACGGAAGTAAACCTATATAATATTCTTCACAGACTACTGTGTGAAGAGTATTGAGTAGATTTTGCCACTTGAAGTGGATTTTATTAAAAACAATTTTCTAATGATTCTTTGGTTTGTAGTCACCCCTCGAATTCTGGAATGTATTAATGAATTCTTTCTTGCCTCTGCTTCAGCAAGTAAACCGACAAAATGTCACTGAATAAACCTCTCAGTTTATTTCTGCATTATTATGCCCCAAAATCAATAATAAAAAGTACAGTCCTTTCTAACATCACTTCAATAATAATTTTTTATTCTTTTTTACTTACCGTACATATATCATATTAAAAAAAAAAACATCAATGAAAAATAATTTATTGTAATAACTTAAATTAACAAAACAAAAATAGGTGTTGACAAACTAATCCGAATTTCATTCGATTAACAAAATTCATATCACAATCCAATAGTTTTCAACTAATAACTACAGCACCTGAATAACTTAAATGTAAAATCAGATAACTAAAGGAATACAGACCTATAATAAATTGGTAGATCAATTATCACAATACCAACAGCCTTAAAAATTCAAAATATTAACTTAAGTGACTGACAAACACAATTCCTTTCCAAAGAACTATTCAACTTAAATAATAACTGGAATTATTAAATTTTAATGGTAAGCTACCACTACATTATCTATTATTACATATTTTCTCAATTCATGCAAAAATTGCTTTGCTTTAATATACATTTTGTTAAAATACTCAATGTTTTTTAATTACATTACTGACAAAAAAAGGCCATTTACATATATATTAACTTGTTTTAAAACACATGATTAGGGTATTGTTAAAGGCGACTCAGTAGTACGAACACATCGTACTTTCCGTAGATCGTGTACGAATTAATGTTTATTAACCCATAGTGAGCGAATCGCATACATGACGTAAGTTTGAAAATACTCCAATTCAGGCGCATGATTTAGATAGCATCGTTGTCCCTCAGCTCGTACCTCATTTCTTACATGCAAATGTAAATCACGTGTAAATATTGCAATTAAAATGTAACTCATGTGTCACATATGGTCCATATTTCGTAACTCATGCCTCAGATAGAGCTGGGCGATTATCAAAATAAAAAATCGATTAATCAAAAAAATCGATTTTTCAAAAATAAGTAATTATTCGAAAATAATAGATTAATCGATTATTTTGCCCACCCTTAAGGATGACATCAGTGAAAAGGTAATTCATTGCGTTACTTTTAATTTTAGCGCCCTCTAACTTGATAAAAATATTTATTACTAATTCAATACACCACAAAACTTTAATCTAAATATCTCCCTATACACCTGCAAATAAAGTTAACAATAATGCAAACACTAACTAATTTTCAGACTTTTGCAAGAGCAATACGAAAATATTTAGATTAAAGTTATGTGGTGCATTGAATTAGTAATAAAATTAGCTTTCAAATGAAGTGTTACATTTTACAATAGGTATATAAGTTTTTTATCAAGCTAGAGAGCGCTAAAATTAAAAGTAACGCAATGAATAGTGTTAGTGCCGAATTCTCCATCAAATTACCTTTTCGATGATGTGTAATGCTAAGTACATTTTTCATTTTCTTAAAATCCAATGAATACTGCCAAACAATAAGGTGGACTGTTTTGAATCGCCACTTTGTATAATCAATTATTGTGGGCCAAAAAGCTCAAAAAAGATATTCATTTCTCAGAAAATTTTATTCCTGATAAAAGTTTCTTTAATCCAAAACTGGACATCCTGATTCTGAACACAAAGTTCATTCGGGAATGATTATCAATTATTTTCTCCTCTGAACCTTGTAAACAACAAATTGTCTGGTATACCGAAAGGTGGTGTTGAACGTGAAAGTACCTACATAAAATTGTTCTTGTGATTTTCAAATCCGTTTATATTTTTAATTAAAATGTCACATGAAAGAAAATGATAGTGGTATAAGAATAGATCGGTGGATTATGAAAACAGGATTGCACCCCGGCATCTGTTTTAAAAAGTATCTCACACAAAGTAATAATAAAATTTAATATTTTACATTTTTTTTTTTACTTATTCCGACTAAGATAAAAAATTAGGGAGTCAAGAAATTTGGCGAATTTTTTGTTTACTAAAAATTACAAATTTTAACGATTTTAAATAAATTGTTGAAGCAATATCATATATTTTAACAATTTCACTTTCGTCCCTTTATTGCCTTGCAAATATCTAAGTTTGATGAGTCAATGAATGTCTAAATGCCGACAATTAACATTTAATTGAGACGAGTAAAGAAATGGCAGTATTTTAATAATGGTTTCTGTATGTGAGAGATGAGATACATCTTGTAGGATCCGACATTGAAAAAATGTACTCGAGTTATTTTTCTATTAATAAACGATTTTAGTAAAAGGCGAACAAGTAAAATTAATTAATCAAATCAAAATGTGTCACTGTCATTTACTATAGTTAATTAATTCAAATATTTAAAATTAAATTTGGTCCAATTTAATAAGATTTATAACCTCAGCAATTGAATGCCTTGATCATTAATCATCATTAGTAATAATAACACACAAACTGAGTTAACAAGAGAGGAAAATATCTATTTTTAGTTTTATAGAAAACTATTATTCTTGGCAAAAACTTTTGCTTGTAATTTAATTTTTCCACTAGATCACTGTTAGTTTTGAACTCACGACAAAAGATCACATGGTAGTTCAGAAAAGCAAAACATTTTATCGAGAATAACTTTTGTTCGTTAAATAACTATTTCAAATAATAAATTTTATTTTTATTAGAACTCACAAGCATGCAGTATTTGGAATTCATTAATGCAAGTATATTTTCTGGTCAACATAATTTTTTTCAGTAAAACTTACTTATTGGTCAAAAAAAAGTAATGTTCTCACAGGTCTATTTTATTTTTTAAATGCGCATATTTTGCTATAGGTATATTTTTCGAATCATGTCATCGCGTTTTTTTAATGGCTGCAGCACCATTTTTTGATAGTACTATTTAAAAGGGTACATTTCTTTAATAACTGCAAAAATAATGTATTATTTGCTCACACCTTCAATGGATACGATACTACATCAACATTTTTCAGCAAAAACAAAGCACATACTCTAAATTTAAGTACAAAAAGATACTTAAAGTATTTGACTTAAGTATTAATACAAACGTTAGTACTTGTACTTGCAATTTTAAGTTTTTCAAATTTTACTTGTGCTTGATACTTAAAATATAATTTTACTTGAAAGCTTTCGAGATTTTTTACTTAAGTATTATTAAAATACTTAAGAATCAGTAAAATAACTTGTTAAATACGAAGGTACAATTTAATTGAAAAACAAAATAAACCATTAATAATCCAGTATTCAGTTATGCAAGATTCTTGTTAATCTTTATGTAGACTGTGTAGATTGTAATATATAAGTGCAATAATAAACTAACAAAAGTAACAAATAATATTAATATGTTAGGACATTTAAAGTATAATTTATAACCACCGTAACGTAACTTAAGTTAACGCCATAGAAACTTAACCTAAGATATAAAAATAAAGTCTATTTATAAATGTCCGTAACGTAAGAGTTGAGCATGCGTGTTGATTTCAGAGATTATTAAATTACTGATAACCTTATGAAATAAACAAGTGTAAACTATGTACCTAACCTCTAAATAAAACTTATAAATTATGATTTTGCTATATATAAAGAATATATTAACTACTTTAAAAGCAATAATATAAAAATATAATAAAACAGAATAGTTTACCGAAGATGTTGATTGTTTTTGAGCAATAATGAGAATTTAATCTTTCTTAGCAAACCAGTTTTGTGTCTTATTTCAGTTCTAGACTTGATGTTTATGCAGCAACACTCATATCTCATAAATAGTTTATCCCCAATAACATAAACACAAATCATTCATGATAATGTACGTCCATCAAAAAGGAGAATGATAGTTTACAAATGGTATTTGTCTATTCATTTATAAAAAAAACATAAAAAGAATAATTGACAGTTATCACATTCTGAACTCAGAATTATCTCATTGGCTAACCGTAAGGTATTAAGTTAAGTTGTTAAGTTAAAAGTTGGCGAACTTTCTACGGTACGTTAAGTTCTTAAGTTACGTTACGAACATTATAAATAAGTATACGTAAATTCAATATTTCAACTTCTTACGTTAAGTTCTTAAGTTACGTAACGGCGGTTATAAGTTAATCTTAAAACGTATCTGTATGTTATGGATGTACGGTACTATGTACAGCGGCATTCATAAATAGCGTACAACAATATCATTAATTCTTCATTGATAACAATAACTTATACATATAAGCAGGGACGGTTTCTCCATTGGTTCATTTGTGCAGTGAACATCCAGTAAAATTTCATGAAAACACATTATTTTAAAATCACATAAATAATTTATAAATTCAATTTTAATATATTCATTATTCTCGTTCGTGTAAAACTCTACTTTTTTTGGTACCCCACTGCGCTTTGGCTGATCGCGTCCATCGGTATTCTTATTGTAACCTACTTACTTTTTAATTTTGTAGTTTATATTGTGAATATTTTTTGCTTATAATCCTGTTCTTTAATTAGTTTTCCTATTGAACAGTGTATTAAATAAATAAATATTTTGATTGAACGCGAGAGGTTTCCGCAAATGCCTGTAGTTGAAAAGAGAGGTCAGCAAATCCGTTAAACAAACAGTGTGTCTGCTTGAAACCACGCTATTTTTAGCATCATTTTGTGCATCGCACACATAGATTACGTCACGACAGTAAACTTCGCTTGGTACAATGACTCAAATAAAACTTCCCATTTAAATAATTTTGTTGCTAAAAACGTTAGGGCCGGGCGATTATCAAAATAAATAATCAGTTATTTTCAATCAATCGATAATTGATTTTTTTCGATTAATCTTTCTTTTCGATTAATCTATTCTTTTTGATTAATCGATTCTTTTTTATTAATTAATTCTTTTCGATTAATCGATTATTTGAAATGGTGTTATCAAAAAATTGTGGTGCCATTTAAAAAACTAGAGAAGACAATTCAAAAAGTAGTGACCGAAATATGCGCATCTAAAAAACAAAATCGGGCATTAATTATTTACTTACCAATAAAGGTTTTATCGAATTTATTCCAACATCTACTTGCTCACTGGTTATTGAAATTGTATTAAGTCATATATAAAAAAGCCAAGCATTTTTTATGTGATTCCTAAATTTTAATTAAATCAGTCAAAAATTAAAAAAAAAACACATTTTTCATTAATTAAAATTGAGTCATACAAATGTCTAATTTTTATAGGAAGCAGACACCAAGATTTTTTATAATAGCTTCACATAATATTCCAATAGCTGTCTCGTATTTTTTTAAGATATCTAATTTTTCCTATATCATTTTCACAATAAGAAATGTTTTTTATAATTAACAGAAATGGTTTCAAAATTAAATGATATCACGAGAGTAACAATCAAAACAAGAACGAGTTTGTATTTCAATTTTAAACCATTCCTTAGACACTGTTAAACCATGTCATTTGTTACCGAAATCCTTATCTAAGCATATTATTAAATAACAATGTGTAAGTCACGATGGGACGTGCACTCAAAATATGCCTAAGCAATGCAATGTAGCATAACAAGTACTATACTCTTATTTCTGTAATATATTTATACTATCCTTCAAATTAAGTGTCAAATTAACATTAGATTGCTATTCTAGAAGTTAAAGTAAAAAAATTTCAGACTACAATGAAATGACACAACTAAGCACATCGTTTCTAAAGCTAATCACAGAGGTTTACACGAATAAATGCACATGATGACATGGTTTAACAGTTACATTTCTGGCAATTCTTCTATAGTAGGAATTGGATCTCGCCAATAGACATTTTGAGAATAATCATTAGCAGCTTCGACACGAGATGGATACAACTGGTCCACTATAATGCTCATGTTGGAGTAACTGCAAATAGAAAAAAAAATAGTAACAGAACGGTTAAAGATATCACAAATGAAATGTTAAATAGGCGTATGTTTTAGTTTTTCCAGAATTATTTGATTTAATAATATCTATAAATTTGTATTTACAAAATCCTAATTTTACTATGTGTAATAAATTCATATATACTGTTTCAGACTTAACGTTAACTGTAGGTGTGGGAGACTTGGATGATTCGAAATCACCAATTATTAATTGATCCAGCTTATCTCATTATCTAGATAGATGGATTTCATAGAAATTTTTATTTAGTCAAAAATCAGCAACACTCGGTTCGGCAGATAAATTTTCCTGGATATAACAAAAATAATGCAAAATCCAGGTCCGGCTTAACAACATTTGGTAAGATATTTCAAAAGAGCAGAAAAAACTGATTTGGATTAGGGGTTTTTCAAATTTGGGCATATCGGTTAAGAAGTCCTAAATTTTTGTTGTTATTTATTTTTTTTTTCAATTTAAACAATTACTTTATGACAAAATATACACAAAATATTTTTATCTGAAATTATTTTTCAAATGACTCGGCACTTTTAAATAATGATATAAATGTTTTACAGGTCCGTAGTTAGCTAGACTATTAATTTTCAAATTAATATTTAAATGATAAGATTGTTAGGGATCAAAAAGATTATTTCGAATTAACAAACATAACTCAGAACTTAAAAAAATAAAATTAAAAAAAAATACGTGTGGCACTCGAGGACTGCAGCGGTAAAGCTATTGCATAGCATTTTATATCAACTTATGCAATTATAATTATTTATTTATTTTATTTATGCAGTATTTTTTTTTTTTTTTTGATATTCAAGTATTTTCTTTGATATTAATTCAAGTTACACTTTTTGAGCGTGGTGACCGATAAGAAAACATTTTTTTTCTTTTATTGAATAAATGAGAAGTTAATATTGTTTAAAATATTTTTATTATCTTAAAATACATGTAGGTTATTCAGGAATTTTTATCATTGAAACTATAGGTTTATGGTAAAAATAAGAAACATATTTTGTTGTGGATTCTTGTGGATCATTATTCATTTTCAAATTCAAGTTTTCCGAAATTGTGTCTAAAAGAGATAGAATCAGTTATGAGCAGTTAGCAGCTAGTCTACACGCATACGTCTAGTCGCACGAACACAAACACCGTGCCGAAGTATGCCGAACTGAAACGACGTTAGACGATGCACGGCTTTCAACGCCGCCCCGCTGCGCCGGTCGGAGTGGGGGGGTGTTTATTTTCGTTACGGAATTTCTTTTTATCGATTTTTCGATTTCTCGATTTTTCGATTTTTTGGTTTTTCGATGTTTCGATTGTTCGATTATTCGATTTTTTGGTTTTTCGATGTTTCAATTTTTCGATTTTTCGATTTTTCGATTTTTCGATTTTTCGATTTTCTTTTATTGAATAAATGAGAAGTTAATATTGTTTAACGCCGTACCGCTGTGCCGGTCGGAATTTCTTGATTCAGTCGCCGCGCTCAAAGCCCGCGATAAAAGCTACGCAATAGCTTAAAAATGTATTTCGTAAATAAGCTGAATAAAACGAGTAGTAAAACCTAATACAGGATGTTAGTATATTCAACGTTCAAAATAAATAATGCATGCAACACTGCATCATGGGAACTGATCACAGACTCTATCTATCTAGAAATTTCGCAGTATCTTATTGCATTGATTCATAGCTATTTCTCTGCCAGAACGGAGTGCCACAAGGATCCTTACTGAACACATTCTGAACATCCCAATAACTGGAGGCGGGTTTAGCCTCGCTTACGCTGACGACCTGGCTTTGATAGTTACGGCGAATGACAAACAAAACCTCTTAGAAAACGGAAACGAAGCCTTAGAAGAGATTAGCGTTTGGATTGAGGAAAACAAACTGGAACTGGCAGTTATAAAACCGAAGCAATGGTAATAAAGGGAAGGGGAGACAAATCGGGTGTCTGCAATATCTGCGTATATGGACTGATAAGGCTGGAACCTTCAGAAACCACATTACCAGGACTATGGAGAAACTGTCACCGCTAGTTAGCATGCTAACAAAAATCCTGCCGAACCTAAATGGACCTGGAAGTAGCAGAAGGAGGTTATACAGCAACGTTGCGCAGTCTATACTACTGTATGGTGCGGAAGTATGGACAGAGTATGAAATTAAGATGGGTCTTTCCTTTAACAAAATTTCCTCAGCCCACTCGTTTCCGTGATATCACCCTTAAAATGTGGTGACTAAAATTGAGTTTTTATTTTATTTTTTATAAAATTTCAGTAAAGCTAGAAACTTGAAATTTTGTAATTTTCGTGCACTCGCAAAGGACTAACCACGGGTATTTTTTCAATATTCCTGTTACATTATAGGGGGGTGAAGTTAGCAACCCTTACTTTATTTCATAACAAAAATTTTTTCGAGATGAAGTTTTATGAAATAAAATTATAACTTGCAATCCTTGTTTTATCTAAAAAAAAAATTTATTCTTAAATTTTTTTCCCAAAACCAATAGCTGCAGAGAAAAAAAATAAACACCATAATTTATATTTTTTTTAATAAATTGAGTGGAAAACAATAAAGATGTAAAATGTAATACGATTCATAATAAATGCTGGAACTGACCACCTCTAGCCAAAATACACTTTACTGAAATTAAAAAAAAAAAAAATCAATTTTAGTCACCACCTTTTAAGGGTAATATCTCTGAAAGGGGTGGACTGAGGAAATTTTGTTATAGGAAAGACCCATCTTAATTTCATACGAGCAATCATCTCCTGAATTTTGTCGCATGAATTTAGAAACACCCTGTATATAGACCCAATATCTGGTGCCAAGCTGTGTCCCCTCAAAAAAATATTAATTTTATTTCTTAAATAATCTATAGTTAAAACTAAAAGGTTCATGGTTTTCTTGTGTAAATGAATGATGTTTTGAACAATTATTAGGTTATACAGGGTGTTAGTATATTCGACCGACAACGCTCTACCCCAGAGCGCTCTCAATTTTCTAGTCTAAACGTATAAGTATTATGTTTATAATTAAATATTTCGAACTAATTTTTGAATAATTTGAAAATTCGGAAACAAATCTCAAAAATCCCTTTACGAATTATTAGGACCATCCCTGGTCCCCAAAGGTGAAAACAAAAAACAAATACTTGGAGATTTGAAAAAAGTCTGTTGCAGCCGGGATCGAACCCGGACATCCATGTTTGCTAGAAAACAAATTTTTGTTCATTCTGTCTTTGTGTCTTTTTGTCTTTTCTGTTTTTCAGTTTATAGAGTATTAATATTAATAATTAAAAAAAATGATTTAGCTAACTACAGACTTGTCAAACATTTCTAACATTGTCAAAGTACTAAATAAAGAAAGAAAAACACTTGGCAAATTGTTAAAAAAAACTAATTTGTAACAAAAAATTGGGACTTCTTAAACGAAATGCGCAAATTTTAAGAAGCCCTAATATAAACACATTTTTTCGATGTTTAGAAATATGAGATAGACTTGTAAAATTTTGTTAAGCCAGACTTGTATTTTAATTATGGTTTCTGTAGCATTTTCTTTGCTATCTCGAGGAAAATATATAGCCAAAATTTTTATACCGAGTGGTTGTTGAGTTTTGGCCAAATAAATATATAGATATAGGGTGGTCCAGTTTATATCGTCAGGATTTTACCAGCTGTTAGTTTATCGAAAAATAAAGGTAGATTGTCCCATAAAACAGTCCAATTTTGTTTCCTTTTTGATGTACAGCAATATTTTTTCTATTAATATTTAAAAAAAATGGCTTAGATCGATTTATGAGGTGTCTTTTGGACATGTTACAGTTGATTCTGAAATTTCAGAGGATGTGATTAGTTTTCGGCACAAAAAATATCGCCCAGTAGATTTTTGAATTTATCAAAATTTTTTTAAATAAACTCACTAAAAATACAACTTTGTCTGTTAAATTTTGTTCGTATCTAATAATTTTGCACGTCTGTAAATACCTGAACCCTGTACATCAAAAATAAATCAAAATCGGATCGTAATTTATCGTACAAAGCATGTACCTTTATTTTTTGATAAACTATCAGCTGGAGGAATCGTCACGTTATAAACTGTAATATTTTAGGCATAACACTCTTGCATAATAAAACTGTTTTATGTTCATTTTCCGCCTACAAAATTAACAACTGTGGGTGCCTCTTTCTCCAAACGCCACTTGTAACATTTTAAAAATCCTCTTTTAAAAGAGAATATATAGTTTAATTTGTATTAAAATGATTTTAAATTTAAGTGTTGAATTGGAAACAAGTGCCTGACTGCAATAGCGGTAAGTTTTAATGTCATTGGAAATAAAAAAATTTAATTGCTGGAAATTTTAAAAATATTTATTTGCAAGTTTAATTTATATCTCTCGTAAAACAGAATTTATTTTTGTTTAGAGAGTGAATATTTGGCAGTCTAAGGATCTTATTCCATATTATCTTCATTAGAAGTCTTCTCGTTGAGTTGAATCGCGAAGAATCAACGTCCTGATTACTAAAGGATCGTAACGAAGGTTGTATTTTAACTATTTATCGCCAGCTAAATGGCCGACGCCAACTAATGAAATTATCGTACGATGGCCCAATTCAATGTATAAAATCTATCAGATAATTTGTAGTATTTCTAAAAGCATATTTGATCGCTTATTCTTTGATTTGGATTTTTAATATTCCATGTAAATTTTATTTGGTATTTGTAAAAGTCTATAAACATTTCCACTATTAAATAATAAACCAAAATTTATTTATATTCTTTTTGAATCTTATTTTTAATGGTTACAACAATTCTCATTTTGCAAAAATTATATATAACTTTGAGTTAATCAGTTAATTTTGTCCTTTTTAAAAATAAAAAGAGAGTTATTGGCGCCCATATACCCTTATTAAAAATATTCCCCAAAAGTATCTATTAGAAAAGCCTGAATTCACGACTGAGAAAACTACAGTCTCATATGCTCATTTGGTTTTCTAATTGGATTAAGACTATTAAAGTAAGTAAATAGCCTTGCTGTAAAGATATCTAAGAGCTAGTCAAAATTAAATATAATTAACGAAGGTAAGTAACTATTAATTATCACGAATTCACGACTTAATGTTAATTATTACACACTTTACAAACATCACTTTTAGTTAAAATCCATGCAAAATACAAAACAAAAACCACAAATGAACGCTAATAATTATGTTAGTATATTACAATTTGATGAAATGTTCACGAATATCTGGAAAAACTTTCAGATTCTATAAATTTAATGAAAATGAGTTTGACCGCCATTTTAATAGCAGTTCCAAGAATTAGTAAATGTATCATAATGAATTAAAGATTTTTTGAATAATTAGTAGAAAGACCTTCAACCAGAAAAAGAAAATAAAAGATCATGAACTTATATTAAGCACTGCTTGCTTACCATTTGAACGAAAAGTTTCGCCGGTGCAATAACTGTTGACGGAAGATGTGTTGAAGGAGACCGACATGTTTAGTACCAAAATAACATTTTTAAATTACTAATACTACTTTGTACTATCAATTAATTATTACAACTATCTATGATATACATATGTGTTTTATCAATAATAAATTAAAGAGAAAAGCGAATAGTTACGTTGAAATTTATAGATTCGAACTGAATTTAATACAAGAGTAACAAAGTACCTATAAATTCCAATCGTAGAATGCATCAAGGCTTAATATAAGCTTAAACATCCCAAAACCATGCAATGTCATATCGAACAAAACACATACGTTTTTAATTTTAAATTTAATATAAACTATCACTATTTACAAGAGAGACTAACCAAATCCATAACAATACTAATACCACAACAAAATCACAGATCGTCTCTTGTATAATATAAATAGTTGTTTCAAATTTAATACTATCAAGAGGATTCAGTTTCCGAATCCTCAACATAATCAGATTCATAATCAGAAAGTGAATAAATTTTGTGCGAAATTGGAGGAAATACATCATTGACCACCAGAGACTGTCCCGAGTAACTGTAAAAATTAAATAAAAAGAATCAGCAAATGAAATAATCACCAATTAAAATGACCAAGCACCAAAAAAGAAGCACCAACAATTAGCGTTTAAGTTACATGAAAAAAATTTAAAACTCACCTTGATTGGAAAGTCTGCGTTAGTTCATGCTTTAACTCTCCCTTTGGATTGATAGTAAATATTCTGACTATTGGTATCCCCACCGCTCTGTAAGCCCATACATCCTACAACAAAAATATATTTTGCACTATATTTGAATTAAGTTATAAATACAATGCGCTGGTTCAGTGTGATGTCATTTTGGTTCCACTGACATTTAATTCTAACCAAACTTTTACCAAAAACAATAAATTGACATATACGTTTCTACTCTTTTTAGTTCATTTCTAAATATTGTTTACAGGTCATAAAAAATAGTTTAAAGGCATGTATGGTAACCTAACTATTGTATATTTGATGTGTGTTATCTACTTACTTTAGGAATATATTTATAAAAGTAAAAAAGCGATATAATTTAGGTAAACAAAACGAACAAAACGCATTCAAAAAATCTACTGCCACTTTGTCAGTGGAACCATAATTACATCATCACTAAACTAGCGTATTGGGCAACAAGAAGTATTCAAAAATATCAATATGACATTTAGTAATTCAGTGAAATGCTACTTTAACTTTTTTTAAACTTTAGCTATCAAAGTTAATACTTTCTGTTATCTTTCCGATACATTCGCTACATGGAAATGGAAGGAGAGCCAGTGACATTTTTTCGGTGCACATTTGTGAAAGACGAATTTAAAAATTTTTCGTTCATTCCTACCTTGTAAAACTTGGAAACACTTTACTGCAGACGCACCAGCGGTGGAGCGTTCGATGACAGTGTTTTAAAAAAGCCATTGTGCATATTTGAGTAGATCATTATCTTGACATAAGCCTTGTGTAACGAGCATTTTGATACTAGAGAGTTGAAGTGGTTATGTACGTAAACGTGTACGTAAAAACGGACATCTGCGCATGCGTATTCAAGTATCCTTCACGTTCACGTCTACGTAAATACGTAAGCTTACAGGCTCTGGCGTATGTACGTAACGCAATCAAAATAACCTCTTTTTAATTGGGAAAGAAGAAATCCTAATATTAATTGTCATCTGTCATGGCACGTAAATAGCACGATGCGTTTAACAACTTCAACTCATATTTTGGACTTCAACGTAAGCATTATTTTTCTGGGGTGACGTTTACGTTAACGTACTGGAAACACTTCAACTCTCTACTCATTAGGATTTTATTTTTTCGTATATTTATATTTATTATTCAAACATAGGAAAGATAATAAATATTGTAACTCTGATTGAGATTTTCATTTCGTATTTTTATATTTAAAATTTAAAGGGATTTTTCGAGTGCGTTAATTTTTGGAGTCGAGGTAGAGAGAATCGTCTACGCAACGGTGATGCGGCGCAACGCCAGAGGTAGGGAAGACGGCATCTGATCGGTTTGTAAATTAATCCTACCTCTGTCTTTCCTCTCTTACCTTTGAAAATTTGTATTTTAATCAAAGTGAGGTTATCGAAGTGATGATTTAATAGTTGTAGAGTTGCGAGGCTAATTGATCTAAGCGCCAAAAATCGTTTTCCCAGGAAAATAAAAAAAAACTATCCATTAGTGAAAGCAAATATTTTTTTTTATTTTTAATAGCATAAACCCAATGTTTAACACAGTCAAATATAACATCGAATATTTAAAGAAACATAAACTATTATTAATTTAAGTTGAAAGAAAAAGGAAGTTTTCAGCTATTTCGTTTCGGTTCTTTTTTTTTTTTTTTTTTTCCATTTTACGTCTTACCACGGGCAACGAATTTTGACCTTTATTGCCTCGTAATTTGAAGTGGGTCATGTTGTTTTAACACCTGATTTTAACCTTTATCGCCTCGTAATTTAATATTGTTTGTCCAGTGAGCAGAGATTCATTGATTTGTGTAAATTTGTTGATATTTTGCAGTGATTTAATTTTAATTTGTTCACTGTTTTCTCTCTATCGTGTAACAAATTAATGGAGCGCTGATTACTAGGTTAGATTAATTTTTTTGCATTTTTTTTCACTTTTTTAGTACTTTTTTATTAATTAAATTAGGCATAGTTCCTGATAAAGGAAGCTACAAAACTTAATACTGGTTAATTAATAAAAAAGGGTACCCTACTCTACTTCTATTCTCTATCCTATTTCCTTTTAAGTTTTCTCATTATTTAATTATTTTTGGGAGGAAATTTTCATATAATCTACAGGGTTATTTGGCATATGAGATTTAGGTTGTCAATTTATTGTCGAGATCCACTATATCAGTGGATTATTTTTTTGCAATCCTCTAGGGATTTAGTTCAATGTAATTTAAATTTCTGGCAACCCTAAGTTGTTTTTTGTGAAAATCATTTATTTTAAATGATTTTAAGTGACAAATCAAATCTCATATAGCGATTTATAATTTGGGGGTATTTTCCAAATGGAATAATTCATTTTTATTTAATACTCAGTCATTAATATTCAATTACTTGCTATTTCACTATTTCATATTTAAGTTAGTAATATTTATTTTCTTTTCAAATTTATTTGTTTTACCACTTCATGGTTTTTAAAATAATATGGGATGTGATTATTTAAGGGTAATTTGCCTTATGTGAATTGGGTGTATTTTTGACACTGAATATTTCTAAGTAATTTTATAATTTTGGTGTTTAACCCTACCAATTAAGCTTAACTTTAGCATCAGCGTTATCGAAATTTAAGTTTTTAGATTATTTTCTGATTAAGTTAACCTCCCGTTAACTTATTTAGTTCTAATAGTGCTTTTTCGACATTGGTGGATGGTCTAAGACAGCCATACTCAACCAGCGGCCCGCGGGCCGCAAGCTTTTTTTGTGGCCTGCAACACTATTATTGGTCGCAGCGCTAAATAGCATGCTAATTTTTAAATGAACGTTTGGAATTTTGTGCGGTTACTGCAAAAACAAGATAGCTCCACTTTTGGAAGTTTCGAGTTAAGTAGGTACACTTTCTACAAGTGTGAAAGAAGTCTATCTTTGAAAGCTCAGATCTTTAGCGTTTTCAACTTTGAATTTTGTGACCCGGGTTCAATTCCCGATAAAAGCAGTCTTATTTTTTTATTTTGGAAAAAATAAAAAAATACTACTTTTGCTATGTTTTTGTTATATACATTTTATTTATCAAACCCTAGAGTTAAGCAATCCGTTAATCTTTGAGCTATTTATTTTGTGCTATTCTGATAATGGTTCAGAATAGCACAAAATAAATAGCGGAAAGATTAACAATATGATGAATAAAATGTATTTAAAATAAATAAATTTTTCATATTTTTTCCAAAATATTAAAAAAAAAAAGATTGTATCGATCGAAAATTGAACTCGGGTCGCGAAATCCGAACTTAAGCGCACTAATGATGTGAGGTATATAGGCTTAGTTATCTAATCAAATATACGAAATGAACATTTTTTACAATGGCTTTTTTTAAGACATCGTCGTCGAGCGCTCCACTGCAGGTAAAAATGTAACGAAACATTTTTAATTTTACCTTGCCCAAATAACCCAAAGGTATCACTGGCTTCCCAACTAAATTTGTTGCCTCGATGTTTTAAAGATCTCGTTCTCTCAAATAGGCAATCGAATTGAGCCAAAGTCATTTGGATTGGCGTAGAGACTCAAACATTCGAAGAAAACGTAATAATTTAAAAATGTTGAAATTAATCATTCAAATGACTATCTAAAATTAATTTATTAATGCAACTCGATTTAAAGTTCTTATTAGCTATTTTAATCATTTTAAAAATAAACTTACATTAATCCTGTTCCCATAACCGGCATAGAATGGATTTGAATCAGTCGGGAACAAAGCTTTAATATCTGACATACAAGAAATCTTGAACTGTTCGGGTTTTCTTTCAATAACTTCTCTGAAAAATAATACGAAAAATCAGTTAAAACATGTTAAAGCCAATATTTTTTTAAATGTATGAAATTTCAAAAACAAAACAAATTGATAGAAAACTAATAGGTACAGGAGGCTAATCAAAACACAGTGGTCTCTTTCTAAACTGCGCATTGATTATCAAACAGTATATAAGGATGATCCTGACGTCAGTTTGGAGTTTTATGATAGACGTTACATGTTAATGTTATCAGTTGTATACTTGTTGTTAAAGTTGAGTTGAAATAAATTGCGATACCAAAAAACCAGTGTAACAATATCTTATTGTTATTAAAAAAGAAGCATTAATACAAATTATAAAACGAGTATGAATACCCTTTTTGAATATTTTGTCCTGTTTAATGCTTAATCATAATACTAACAAAGTATATTAACCGTTGAGTAGCGACATAAAGCGTCGGTGCCTTTGATCTTGGGTGGTGCAAATTTTCTTTCTCTCTCTTTTGACGTTATTGACGGAACGACACAGTAAAACACTGCTCGAATTATGAACTGGTCTTGAATGTAATGTTTACACTGCTCGACGTAATTTGAAGTAAAACTCTTTTCTAGTTTACATTTATAATAAAGGTTTGGTCATTAGGCAGTTTTATATTTATGAGTATTTAACTTATGTAGTAAATATAAAAATATATATCACTTATAGCACATGCATTTCCTGGAATAATGAAAAACCCACAAAACCCCAAAAAATCTTAACAAAAACACAATAAAATATCGCGACGAATTGATAACCTCCTCCTTTTTTGAAGTCGGTTAAAAAGAGCACTAATAAATCCACAACAACGAATTCCTATATCAGCTGTCGGACTAAAGTGAAAGGGGTTGTTTACATCTTTAGAAGACGTCTCTCCTCTCTATTTCGCGTCGGCGCACTAGAATTCGGTTCCCCAGCTGTCGCTACTCAACGGTTAATATACTTTGATACTAATACAAATAATAAGGGAGTATAAATAGACATTTGGAAATTATTTTGAGCATTTACTAAATTAATTAAATGCTTACTAAATTAATTAAAAATATATTATTCAAAATACATATTATTGTTTTTAAATAGCCCCCTTCGTATACTAGAAAAGGTTTTAAGCATTTTCTGAGATCATCTTTAGTTCATAAGATATAGCCATTATATGTTTTTAAATTGTCACCCTGGAAACATATAAAACAACGAGTGACTGCAATAATGATTATCTATAATCGCATGAAGAACAAAACATATTGTTAAATATTAAATCCATGATTATCGGTATTTATCAAGTAGCAGCATTGGGATTTTTTAACGAATAATAAAATTTAAATATTTACGTTATCGTTACAACCAATCAAAACAAAATATATTCACTATTTAGTACTAGTCACAGAGTATGTTGCATGGTGTAATTGCAACGTCCGATTAAAATATTTATATTTAATAATTTGCTTTTTAAATGAGGCCCTAGAAATAATTTTCCTAAATACAACTCGAACTCAATACACATCTCCTATTTTTATTGTGGCAAAATTTGTGGTGTATAATAATCTGATTTAGCTTTAGCTCGGTGGATTTATTCTTCGTTTATTAATGCCAAAATTGTGCCGTTTCAAATAAATAAATAAAATACTTAACCATTTATGTTAAGTAACAATAATGAGGAAGTACAGGAGGCAACTTGATGTTAAAAAAGTAATAAAAGTCTTTCCTAGTCAGAGTTTATACTGCAACAATAAAGTGTACCACTTTTTTTAAATCAAATGTACTCTGTAATTAGTTTACCAGTTAAGAGCCTAAAATTTGAATCTAACAACTTTGTATCTAGACAAACGATAACAGATTCGTTTTAATTTGGTATAAGGAAAATTATATGTTTTAAAATTGTGAAGCGCTACTAATATTCACAAAGAAAAAGGTAAATTTTAAAAACAACCTTACCTATGAAAAGCTGTAATCAAAGAAGTGGGATTCAAAAGTATCGGACCATCAGGCATGCTTAAGTCCCCTTGCTTGATCGACTTTAAATATTCCCTAGTGATTCTAGCTTGTCCAATGGCCCTCGCACTGAGGTACAACAGTTTATAACCATTATCTTCTATTTTATTGAAAAGTTGAGCAACGCCCGTCTGAGCCCAATCTTTTCCGACGATTGGTAAAATGTGTCCCAAAACATCGGACTTCGTGATAGTGCCATCTATGTCAGAAACAACAATCTTGTCGTCCCATTTCCACTTGTACAAATGGCATTGACATCTGGTCGTTCCTTGATATGCTGTAGTGACACTGAATTCTACCTCATTCATGCCATCACGCAAATTCAGGCCGGCCTATTTATAGAAATAGTTTTCATATAATTAATTTGATTTGACCTTGTATCGAGGAAAAACAATATAGTTCATGTTTATTTGAAAGAGAAAAGCATAAAAAATTAATAAAAACTCCGCCGGACATGGGTGCGTTGTACAAAACTGGATTTCTGCACAGCTGCGGCTGTTAGTGATCATGCGCATTGTATTAGGTAGATCTCTACCATATTGCCATAATATCTGATCAGGTAGAAACATATTATGTCTTTATTATATCATAGAAATGGTGCATAGAAAACACTAAAAAAAATCTAATATTAATACAAAATTAATTTAATAAAGAATAATATTTCAATATAAATTCAATCGTAACAAATTTCAGATTTTACTTTTAATGACAAAATCAACTTGGTAAAGGTAGATTGTGGCAGCTACACAATACTACACATACGACATTCATTTTTGATCGATCAGGCTTCTAGCAAAATTGCACGTCGTTAAAATTGATTTTTATGTATTGATTCTTTATAATAGTTTTATTTTCTGCTGGATATTTTCCCGAGGGGTAAACCGCTGAGGAAGTAAGGTCTATATAACACGTGGGAAGTACATAGGAAGTACGGAAAGTCCTAAGAAAGTACGAAGTCCTAAGAAAGTACGAAGTCCTAAGAAAGTACGAAGTCCTAAGAAAGTACGAAGTCCTAAGAAAGTACGAAGTCCTAATGAAGTACGAAGGAAGTACCTGAAGTACGAAGGAAGTACCTGAAGTACGAAGGAATTACAGAAAGTCCACAGGAAGTACAGGAAATATAAAGGAAGTAATTAGACGTTTCAAATCTAAATATATAGGATTGGCAATAGGACTTGAGGTAGAGCATGGTCAACAAGTGTGTGATAGCCTCGAATGCTCAGATACTTACTTATCTGACGTCGCATGGCAAGACAGTAACTCGTTTTGTACATTTTGTATTACTTAGTAATTTAGTGTAGAATTATCATTATTTATAAGGTAAGTACGTACAGATATTTTTATAAAAGTACCAAAGAATCCACAAAATTAATTACCTTTAATAATTATAACTTATAACATTTGTGTAATTTATTCAACAAATTGTGTAATAAGTATGTAAAATCGATGTGTAAAAATTGTGGCACTAGTGTTGAACAGGATTTCTACAAGAGTATCACGCTATACTTTTTTACGACCACAATGAATAAAACACAATTTTTGATAAAAATAAGACATCTAAATGCACAGATACTTTTTAAGTAGAATTGTATTTAGTGATTTAAATTAGTAGGAAAATTATATGTCAGCTCCTATATAATAGGTATACCGGGTGACAATGAGACTAGGGTCATGTTAATATCTCTATATCTCTTTTAAATATTAATGATTTGTATAAAATATGGAACAAACATACTAGACATAATTACGAATTGACACTTATACTTAAACAAGATGGCCGACTTTCGATTTTATTAGGTTTGTTTTTTAAATGGCCCATCCTGTGTATTTAATGTTTTATTGGATTCAAATTACATATAACAGTGTTGTTAAATTTAAAATTTTTTCAGACTTTTTTGAGATGGAAGGCCATGAACTAGAAAATAATATTGTCAGATTTGCCATCTAATGGCGGCGAAATGCTTGCAATAAGTTCTTTTTAAATATAGTGAGAATTTGTTAAAAAAAAGACGATTTAGAAATGAATTTTTTAGCTGAAGATTTTATTTTTAACTCAATTTGGTTTCGAATGAATCAAAGCTGCTTGAACATTATTTTCCAGTTCATGGCCTTCTTTTTCTCAGAAAATGTTTCAAAAGAGTTATTTTTAGGAAAAAATGAAAATTTGTCAACACTGTCCAATGTAATTTTAACTGTAAGATTCAAAAACATAAATTATGTCTAGTAGATATGTGCCAAATTTGATCCAAATTGCTGCATAAATAAAAGAGTTACCCATTATAAAACTCTCCGACGTAACAATTTTAACTCTTACGTCAATCATTTTACCCTTTTAAACAGAAGGGTGCGGCATGTGGTACCTCATTTGAAAATGATTTTAATTATCTATTCTGTAAAATTTACCTTATTTTTTTAAGAACTATATATTTAAAAATTCACCAAACACTGTTAAAACAAATTTATTAAATTATTTGACTTTAATATTTTTACATTTAAATTTACTTATTAATAATGTAAAAATGTTTATTAAAGAATTATATAAACCCAAAAAACATTGGTTTTATCGAATAAAATCCCTTTAACAAGCCTCACCCTACTATTCCATAAATTAAGGGAGTAGCTACCGATGGTGGGGTGAAAATATATATTGATATCTTAATCAAGAGGGTTTTTTACACTTTTTATGTTCACATGAAAAGTTAAAAATATAAATACATAATACGTAAAAAATTTACAGAACTAAAAAGTCTTAGATTCATATTTTAAAATATAAAAAAAAAGTTTTTGCTCGATTTTTTTATGAATAATATCTTTTTTCCCTAATATTAATAATAAAAAAGTTTTTTATATGCCGCCAACTTACAGACAGTTGATGACATATGAAGTCGTTCTACAAATATCTCTTTCAAATAGCCAGTGAGCTTTGGGTGTTAAGTGTAATAAAATGGTACATTTAATAAAAATAAATATACAAATTTATGTAATTATTCTAAACTTACAATTTGTTTAGACGTTAGTCTCAAAGTTTTTCGGTATTTGTCAGAACTGCAACTTGGAGATCCAGGCTCATCATCTTGTTGACTGTCATCTGAAATAAAAAATAATTTATTAGAATATTCCATAAACTTATAAGATATCAGAATATGTATAAGTATTTATAGTCCATTTTGTGAATATTTACCTTTGTCAATATCTTTCGCTTCCCCAACTTCTATCACAACGTCTTTGGTTTCACCAGTCTTATTGATTTCGCCGACATTTTCCGGAGCAGGAGTAGCTTCCCTCGAAGTTCCACCACGTCTCCAACTCCACCAACTTCGTCTGGCCTCCTGCTTAGGTCCTTCTTTCATTTCTTGAGGACTTCTAGATGGCATATGAATGTTGACCAATTGATCGACAGAAGATTGTACCAAAGGCCTTCCATACACCATAATGCTGGTTAAAATTGGTGCTGCAACTTTCCACGTATAATATTTATCTTTAATTCTGACTACAAGATTGGGGTTTTCAAATAAAGAAGGGTTGTTACACAAATCGCTGAATTTAACAACGTGTTCTAGAAATCTGTTGCAATTTGGTTCTGGGTCCCAACCACACAATGAGAGGGAGATGTCTTGAGAAAATGCTTGAGCCCTGAAAATGATAAACAAACATTATACGCCTGAAAAAGTTGGCAATGAATGGGAAATTTATTTATTATTCATTTTCATAAGTTACATGGAAATCAATGATCAAGAATCAAATTTGTAAAATATTTATTGGTAATACAAGGAAAATCAATAATATTGATATATATTTAATTATAGAACAAAATGTCATTTGAAAATGTTGGTAGGAATTAAAAATTATGTCTAGATTTAGATTCATGTCCTTTTAATAATGCATTAACACATTTACAATAAAAAATATATATTTTACCTATATACCACTAAATATTTTATAAATCTTATTCTTGATTATTTATTTATGTCATGCAGAATTTTTGTAAAATGAATAATAAATAAATTTCCCATTTATTGCCAGACGTTTTATTTTCAAAATTTTTAATCAAATCAAGATTTATAGAATGTAAAAATGCCAATTTTCACATTCTTAAAACATACTTCATAGTAAATAAGGCATCAATTATATCACGCCGCTTGTCGAAAGGTAAAATAAACCCGTACTTTTTACAAAAGTCAACACAGATTCAACTGAGGAATAGTTTATACATATACCAAGTTGTTAGAAGAGCTGGATCCAAGTATTTTTACTTCTTTCACGTGAGGTTTTTTTGACAGAGGAATTAAAGTTAATTGAATTATGTTCTGATTTTGATAATTTATGTCTTGGACCTCTAACGTAAGTACCAATTTGTGTATTATGTGAATGGCCATCACCTTGCATTGGTAGTACACATAAATTTTTATGTATTTCAATTAAATTTGCAAAGATAAATACCTTCATTAAAGTCATGATCTTATGAGTAGGTAGTGGGGTTTTGTGATGTATTTACTTGATATAATAAATAAAAAAAAAATTAAGTCATTTATCATTACTAGTTATCTTATATTTTAACTAACGAAGGCTTAAAAGTATCATACTTTAATTTCACAATTAACACTGATATGAATTAATACGTTGTCTACAAAAACAAATTTAATTGATTTTGCTAATATTACTTTTTACTGTAATGCAAAACAGAATTAAGAACGTTTATAAAGTAACAAAAACTTACATGAAAAATGCATTTAATTATTTAAATACCAATTTAGATAGATGATGAAAAACTTTTACTTTTACTATCTTAATTTTAAGTACCAATGCAAAATAGGTCACTAGATTTTTAAATGTATACAGAATATTACAAAATATAAATTTAAAACGGAGCAAAATTTGGCACTTTTACTTTTTATTACATAAAAATAATTTCTTTTTTAAAATCTTAAACTTACAGTTTTTGTTGTTCTTCAAAATCGGAATCGATACTCTTGCAGCCGTCAGCGCTGTTGGGACTTTGGGTCAACGATGGTCCATTTCCTGATTCACAATCCACCTCGATGTCTAAATTTTGCATTACAACACTTATTACATTAAAAAGAAGAGCAAGCACTATTTTTTTTAGCAAAGGAGTAAAAAGTAAATTAAAAGAAAAACAGAATATAAAGAAAACGGTAAATTGTTTTTCTGATAAAAATAATAATATGACTACTTATTTAAATGAACATAAATAATAATTGTCAATAAATAAAAACTAGAATAACTGGATAGATAATATATTGTTAGGAATTTTTGTAAATTCCAATAACATTTCCAGACAGATGTAACTTTAATCTTCTGTTTTTTTTTTTTAGTATATTTATGAAAAATAGGTATGGACACATCTTCAAATTATAAGTCACTACATTAATCTGTTGGTTTTTTAAACTCAAACTACAGTAGTACAGCATACATAAGATTTTATTACAATCTGCTGTTATAAAAAAAATAGTTGAAGGTAAGGAAAAACTTGTATAGGTATTTGAAAGAGTCAAGTAATTTTGAGTATACAGGGTGTTTCATAATATATGCGCAGGACTTCAGAATAGGGAAAGCTCGTTCAAAAATATGAAAAAACATTTGTATTAACTTACCCTCTAAAATGCACCATTTTCGAGATACAGGGTGTTGAAATTGAAAAAAAAAATTCTACCCCACTGGAAAAAGTACGGTTTTGAGACGCCCATTTGAACCGCCAATGTTTTCTACACAAAAAAAGGTAATGTTGAAATATGTATTTCAATATTAAAATTTGATTTTTCTCGAAAACGGCGACTTTAGAGCGTATGACCAAGAGTACCTTTTTTGTGTAGAAAACATTGGCGGTTTAAATGGGCGTCTCAAAACCGTACTTTTTCCAGTGGCGTAGAAAAATTTTTTTTTCAATTTCAACACCCTGTATCTCGAAAATGGTGCATTTTAGAGGGTTAATAGAAAAGTTTTTCATATTTTTGAACGAGCTATCACGTCCTGAAGTCCTGCGCATATATTATGAAACACCCTGTGTATGAAATTCAAACATTCCTAAGTAATTAAAAAAAAAAAACAAATTTAAAATAATTCACAACTAAAAATAAGTATTTAAAACAAAGTTCTTAGAACCAATCATAACTGATATTATTAAGTAAAAACATCTATCACGTATTGCAAAATTTTGATTAAATAAATAATTTAATATATTTTGAACTTCACGTATAATTGGATAAATCATTGATGTCCATTTAGGATAGTCTATATTGGTTAAATCATTATGCTAGATATAACAATAAATAACTATAAACTTAGGTAAGAAATATATATTTTGATAAACATATCGGCAATTTAAAACAAATAATTCAAAATTTTGTAATCAGAAGTACAAATTTGTCGTTTTAAAACCATATTTGTGCAAAAAGTATTATTATTATAATTTCTATCTTTCTGTAACAAACTAGATATTTATTTTAAAACTTACTTTTCTTGTCCTTATTGGTATTAAAATAAATTTCAGCAACTCCTTGATCAACACTGCCTGATGTAATGTCGGACAAATACATTCCTCCGTCCAGAGGGTTCTGAGTACCGTGCTTTTGCTTCATAAACGAAAACATACCACTTAACATGGATCTGTGTTCTTCCTGTCTAGAATCATCACTTGTTGGCGAATTAGTTTGCGAGACACTAGGAAATCCACCCCACTCCCAACTTTTCGTAGTGTCTACTGGATCTCCTATAACAACAAAAAAATTAATGTCTTGAGTTGAGGAAGTATGGTGTAAAATACATGGAAAGTGCATAGAAAGTAAGGGAACTACGAAGTGCAGCAAGTACGAAGGAGATAAAGGAAATATGAAGAAAGTGCAGGAAGTTTGAAGGAAGTACAGGAAATGTGAAGGAAGTAAGTGAAGTATGAAGGAAGTACGGAAAAGTACAATACAATTTATTTCAACTAATGTTCTATTATTTGTCTTTTACGGAAAGAAATAAAGATATTAGAAGAACTTTAAACTAGAATACAATTTTAATATTAGATTAAATGTATAATTTAAAAACAGCAATACTTCTAAACAAATAATATCGTTGTAGTACTCTGATTCTTGAAGATGAATGAAGATATCGACGAAGAATACTGTCGATTTTTCTAATAACTATAACAACGTGTTGGAATATCCAAATAGTTAGTGACTGACTGGAAAATTTCATATTGCATGTTGGTCATAAACATTTTTTAATAAAAAAGAATTGAGGAATCCTAAGGAAGAAGCTCAGAGAACATAAGTATTTCGCGCTAAATAAAACTGGGACTGAGTTAAATGTGAGAATTAACACTAGCAATAAATTAAATCTCCGATCACGAAAAATATACGTGTAACAGAAAGAATAGTCAATTACCGTTAAATTTAAATAGTGGATTATAAGACTATATAAATATATTTAACAACTTGGTGTGTGTTACATTTCTCTTGTGATATCACAATAAAATTGCAAAAATTAGAAAAAGATCACTAAAGAAATATCATAGGTACGATTTATGCAAATTTTTCCAAACAGTGAACCAATAACCATATTAATGAATAAAAGAGTCCAAAATATGTCAAATGTATAACTACTCACAATACATTTTTTTAAGAAATCAGGAATAACTTATATACAATGTGTCGCAAAAAGTATACACAAAGAAAACATGAATATGAACTTTTTTAATTTGCATAAAAAAAGAGTAGTAAACTAAATAATTATATTAAAAAAATAAATGGTGATTGACACCAGGTGCTAAGAAATAATAACAGGTCTTAGAAAAAAATTAAAATTCAGCTCAAATGTGCATAACCGAAATACTAGAAATACTAACCCTCTTGTTATATCTAAACATAGAACAACTCTCTACTAGATATCGTTCTAATATAATGCAGCCAGTGTATACAGGGTGTTTCGGAATGAAGTACCGTAAATAGGGGGACTTGCGGCTCTTAACTAATTAATAAGAAAAGATATATATATAAATATAAACGGCCCAGTTTTCATTTTACAGGTTGATAAAGTGAATTTAATAACTTGACAACATTGTAATTGCTACATCTAACGCACGGTAACGCAGCAAATGTCTGTTAGATTTCTTTATGCTTGTTTGGGTTCTTTCGGAAACTAGTTCAGAATCACTAAATTACACTCGATTAGCTAAGGTTGTTATAACCTCGCGACTTGTTCTTGAAAAATTAATTCGTCCACTGTATTTGAGAAATGGAAACGACGGTTCTGTTTGTAAGCATTACCGTAATGTAGGGTTAAGAAATTATCCTAATACATTATTACGCATTTTCATTAAGTTTAAATTAGAATAATACAGAGAATAGAAACCTTTTTTATTAAATGAAATATCTCAGTGACTAGAACATTAAAAAATTAGTATGAGTTACAAATTTCTATGAGCCATAATAGATCCATCTGGGTCGCAGTAGAAGGCGATGAGATCATCCCACTCATTTTCAACCTAACCTACAAAATTCTATAGACATACACACTCACTTGATAGCCCACCATTCATACATTTTCGACGTTGCCGGATGGATTTTACTTGAAATAATAAGGTATCCTTATATATAAGCTTACATGTGTTGTGTACAGTCGTAACATTTTTTAGCATTGAAAATCTCGAACTTTTGGTATTCACCATTAGGCGATATTTTTGTGCACGACTGTCGCGAGTGAAATGCCTTAAATTATTTGCTTAAAAAAATTAATTTAAATAGATACTTTAGATTTAGGATTCAAAATTCAAGCCACTTCAGTGTCTATCAGTATAGGAGTCGTCGAAAAAAAAGTAGTAAGTGTTGCCAAAACATTTCCCCCCAAAAAAAAATTATAATAAAATTTTGTTTGGGAAATAACTTGAAACAGAAGCTATTTTACCAATTGAGTTAAAAAGGAATCCTTCTGATAAAATCTCACTTTTTAAATTTTATTACCAATCCGACAAAATATATTATTTTTCAATTAATTCATAGCCTATTATCACAAAAAAAAAATTAAAACATTTGTTTGGTAAAAATTAAAATTTGACAGTTTTACTTAAATCGTAGATTCCAAAAAAACAAAATATCCATTTAAAAAATTAAACAATGGCATTCCGGTAAAATCGAAAGTTGGCCATTTTGTTTTAGCATCGAGTGTCAATTCGAAATTATGTTTAGTAGGCTTGTCCAAAATTTGAACTAAATCGCTTCATAAATAAGATATTTACATGGCCTTGATCTCATTATCACCCGGTATACCGTCCGTTTTTATTTCTATTTTTGGTCGTATTGTTAAATATATTCCTATATCGTTTACTATCGATGTAACATAAATTTAAAAATATTCCATTTATTATATTATGATGTTTTTTGTTTATGAATATGAACATGTTTCCGGTTTTTTTCCTAAAACCGAATCTTTCCATTACTAGTACTCAACCTACACCGAAATAATTTTACCCAAACGGTATTTTTGAAATTCATAAATATTAATGCTCAAAAGAATACTAATTTATGGTAATTATCCACGTGGGAATTAGCAAAATATGTTAAAATAAATACATACATAATTACGAAACGTTGAATTGTATTAATATTATTATTTCAGATGTTATTTGCTTCCAAAATCCATTTATTAAGCTTTACACGGAAAATTAATTGTAATAAATATGAACATTATTAAATATACAGGGTGTTATAAACAGTATATTCTAGAAGCAACATTTTACTACAGAAACCTCTCGTTATTTGATACAGTTTTGATACAGGAACATGAACTCTTAAATAGCTTAGTTGTCGAGATATCCGAGATACAGGATATTAAAATTTTTAAATCAAAATTCAAAATTTCACACAAATCAAACCTATCTTTAAATATTTTTTTCAAATTTGATCTTCCAAGATATTGTCAAATACACGAACTATTAACAATTTGACACGTGCTTACTAAATTAGAATTTAGAAGCTAATTTCCGAAATTCCGTTCATTTTAACTCCATAATAAAAGGTTCTTACTTTTTTGACTAAAAATAAACAGAGAATTATAAAAAGATAATAAAAATGCTTGTTACAGTGATAGTGCGCCACTGGTTACATTTTTCAAAAGTCAGTTTGAGTCTTAAATTGATCATCAAATTTGAAAAATAAATATTTAAAGGCGTTTTTGATTTTAACAAATTTTGAATTTTGATTTCAAACTTTTCACTAAGCCCTTAAGACAAGCCTGCACAACTCAGATTTTCAATGGGCCAGATTTGAAAAACCGTAACTGTACGAGGGCCGCCAAGAGAGGCCTGAGACTACAATAGTCCGTTCAGATTTCTAAAAAAAAGTCGTCAGCCTAAATGCAAGTTTGTTATTAAAAACGACACAACATCCGGTCCGCGGGCCGTATGTTGTGCACCCCTGCCTTAAGGGATTCAGTTTCCTATATCAAAAATCATCAATTAACGTCAGCTGTCAGGAGTAGAACGTTGTCGGTCGAATATACTAACACACTGTATATTTATTGAAATAATATAGTTGAGTAATTTTAAAAATAATTTAATTGTAAATATAGTTTGCCACATATAAATATTTACTCAAATTTAAAATAGATAACAACCTTTGTGTTTTGTATATATGTAATTTTGAAGTTCATTATTTATGCATATGATCCCATATTATATTATGTATTTTATTGCTATTATTTTGTTGCTATGCAATAGCACAATGAAAATAAATTATGCAGGAATCTAACCTAATCACCCAAAAATGCATTATCAAACAAAGTTTTTATTAAACATTGAATATTAACAATTATGGTACCAAAACCAGTTTAATTAAAAAAAAACTTAAATAAAAGGTGATATCATCGTAAAAAAAACATTTCGTAAGTAAATTTGTTCAATGGTCAATTTAAAAGAAAAATGTTCTGCTACACTGCAAAAACATAGTGAACAGAAGTAATTGCGCCAAAAAATCCGAATTCTAGATTTCGTTGTTTGTAATTTAAGGTAAATTATTATATAAATAAAATATTTATGTATATAAATAAAATATTTATGTATGTATATATCTGTCGGGAAAAGTGTTTATTTTTCTTTTCCAAAAAAATGGAATAATTGTGCCCAATTTTTAGTCCCAATTTAGATCTGTTAAGAAGTGGAACAAAAATTACAATTTTAATACCTACAAGATTTCAAAAGAGAGCTTTTTTATGCTGCCATATATTATTTAAAAAAATAAAAACATCATCAGAGGTTTTTTATTTTGTGGAAAATAGCCTGTTCATATCAATATTTTTTTTAGCACTATACTAGCTAATCTTGGCCTCAACCAAGGGGTGAACTGTTGAACAAAAGTTTAAGACTTCTCGTACTTCATTTTTACTTAATTCATACTTCTCGTCTTTCCTTTGTGCTTCCTGCACTTTCTTCATACTTCCCACATTTTCTTCGTACTTCCCATACTTCCGTCGAAAATATAACTCTGGAGCCTTTATTATTATTGTTAGTATTTCCATATTACGTCTGTGCATTGAGGTAGTAAACGGTGCAACTTGCGTGTAAAGCACTCGTCAGTAAAAATTATTTTTAATGCTTATAGGCAGTAAAAGTGTTACTTCTATAATCGAGAAGTGTCACTAAAAATAACATACAATGACAAGCCGAGAGAAAAGTATTTTCATCACTCAATTGTTAGTTATGGGATTATTGCATTATAACTTAAAAATTGATTTACAGAACTGATTATATATTACAACAATAGCAATTTAATAAAAAAAAAATATTAAAAATGAATTTAAGAAATGGTAATAAATATAAAAGTATAAGGTAGTAATCATAATGCAATGCAATGCCCTCACTGATTAGTAATAAACTAAATTTTAAGTGTTTTTTAAGATGTTTCAATGGAACATTATTGTAAATGTTTACAGCATTGTAAGTAAAACAACGGTGAAACATGGTAAGATTGAACTGGGTAGTGTTAGAGTGTTTGGATATCTTAAGTTTACATTATGTACATCTCCTCGATGTAGTAATTTGTCATTTAAATTCGCAGGTTGAGAAGCAAGTACTTTAATTTCTGCATTCGACAACAATCAATCAATCAATCAACCTAGCAACAATATTTTCTACAAGATGCATCATTTATTTATATACAGCCCACAACTCTACCTGATGACCAGTCAAAATGCCCGTGATCAGGCGCAGATTATGTCTAGCCATAGTTAAGTATTTGTTGGCTTTAGTGTTAATAATAATAATAATACTCCCTCTCTCTAATTCACCTAATTACGAGTGAATTTCAACCCCTGAAGCCTACTGAGCTTGTGTGGGGAAGGGACGGCTATTATTATTATTTATCGTGGCATTCCGGGGCGACTCTAAGATGATTGATTGTGCCACTTGACTTACAGGTGAGTAAAAACTCGTAAAACCTCAACCACCATCATCGCATAGCTATTTATAATCTGAATGTCATATTAACAGACATTGAAATTCTGTTAATACGGCACACATCAAATCCTACAACGAACCGTGCAATTTAATAAATAATAATAATAATAATAATAATAATAATAATAATAATAATAATAATAATAATAATAATAATAATAATAATAATAATAATAATAATAATAATAATAATAATAATAATAATAATAATAATAATAATAATAATAATAATAATAATAATAATAATAATAATAATAATAATAATAATAATAATAATAATAATAATAATAATAATAATAATAATAATAATAATAATAATAATAATAATAATAATAATAATAATAATAATAATAATAATACTCTCCCTAATTCACCCCCTTACGAGTGAATTTCAACCCGTGAAGTCGACTGAACGACTTGTGTAGGGGAAGGGACGGCTATTATTATTATTTGCCGTGGCGCTCCGGGGCGACTTAATAAACATGGTCTGTCGTAGGTTTCGTGTTTGAACCACAAACTTGCCTGTAAATGAATGTAAGCGCATGAGACCGCTACGCTACCGACCCGATTGTGGTCAGGATAACTTAAAAGCTCCCTGGCAACTCTGCAGCTTCTTATTTCATCCCATCTTTTCTTGAACTGCAAAAGGGAATGTTTTTTTTAATTAGGATTATCATTACCGATGTCGTAAGTACAACGGAAGGGCCAGGTCCAAAAAGTATTTAACTGGTTGCCTTATTAGCTAGTGAATCAGGATTACTTTTATGTGGCGTGACTTTTGATTCATCTTAAGGTGACCACATTGTTGATGGATACGTCGGCTAAAGCTTCGTGACATTTTAGTACTAACCCTGAATAAATTTGTGGTCTGTTCAGGGTGAATAGTACTTGTCTCTATCTGTACAGATGAGCATGTTCCTTGCTTCCAGTTATATTGTTTCTGGTAACTTCTATGAGAATCCCCGTAAGCTCAGTTTGAACTACACTGGCACCTATTGTTCACAGCCCATTTTATGTTTAAGTTTAAGGTTTTGGAGTATATTCCACATCCTGAGCCTTATTTTGTTTTAAAAGCGTCGCGGTGTAGATATAAATCGTACCTGCCACTCCCGGATCTTCTGTTTGTTCAGTTGTATGGTTTATAGAAGATATATCTCGGTGAGATGGAGTCCAAGTTCGCCTGAAGCAGTGGAAGCATATCGAGCACTTCCCAGCAAAAGCGACGTCTCGCTTCACCAGATCCTACATCAGGTTCTACTCTAACCGTGCAGAGTCATGTCATTAATGTCATTGCCATCAGAACAACTTTCTTGATTTAACTATCAACGAGAGTGAGAGTAAGAATAACTCTGGTTGGTGTGGTTTTCATGGCTGCTCTTGTTGCTTTGAATTTGTTCTAGTTTACGCATAGCTGTCATTTGTTGGGTTTTCGATACCCAGACATTTTTTAACTTTGTATAGAAGTCATTAAAATAAACAACAACAAACTTAATAATAAGAAAATTACAATAATTTATTTCAAAATATATCCAATACGGTCCTCTCCGTAGCTAGAACTTGTGTAATTTATGGCGTTGTAAGAACCATTAACAAAACTGAACTTTGCAGGGGTAATCATCAAGTTGTAGAGCTTAAACACGTTAAATGTGAACGGGATACAATACATTTTACTGCAATGTTGTTCACACTTTTTAAGAGAAATCGTTCACTGTACAATACCGATGAAGCAGCTATACTTTTGAAGACACGTGTCACAAATAAGTTAACATGTCCATAAAATTCATTGTTGTCATAATTTCCCGTTCTGAATAAATTAAATTCACTAGATACTTCAGATAAATACACCACTGTAATCACGATCAAGTTACAATATGGTAGACAATGCCAGCTTGATTCATTACCGAAAAAAAATGTGAAAAAATATAAACAGAGTTATTATTTAGCTAAATTCCAGACCCGAATTTAAATGATTTAATTTTGTATCTTCCTTATTTTTAATTTTTTTTTTAATTGTTTATTTTAACGATTTCTAGATAGTTTAAAAAGTATTTTTTTGTGTCATCGGCATCGACTACTAAGGCCATTAGCCTCGTGTTCTGTGTAGGCTTTGTTACTGTTTCCCAGCGCCACTTTAGGAACAGCACTGTTAATTAGAACCCAACAGTGAATGGTCGAGTGGGGAATCTTACCAAGGCATCAGAATTAATTTTAAATAATTATATTAAATAAAAAATCCCGGCCAACTGTGGGATTCAAACCTGGGACCCTTGGATCCACAGGCAGAGACTCTACCACTGAGCCACCCAGCCCTTTTTAAAAATTATTAACTCAGGATTCACCCTGTATGCGTACATATTAAAACATTAATATTATTTGACTCTCCTAGAACGTTTAATTTTGAAAACAAGTATTAGAAATTAAATTTAAAAAAATCGACTTCAAAAACGTGCAGATGCCATCACCACATCTTAACAAAATATATATGAGAACACCCCTGAGGTACTAACCACAAAAGAATCATATAAATCGGACAAGATGGTAAAGCATTATCGCAAAACATACATAAAAAATTAAGAGTTTGAGGATTTTCTCATGGACCCAATTATTAGATTTTGACCAAATTTATATGGGACCACCCTTGAAGTACCCCCTTTCTAACAAAAAAGAATCATTGAAATCGGACACCGTGTTAAAGAATTATCGCTGAACATACATAAAAAAAAATATTGCGACCAATTGAGAACCTCCTCCTTTTTGAAGTAGGTTAAAAAAACATGTAATCTGTCAGGTAAATGCCATGCATGTCATGTACAAATCTAGATCTCCATCTCCATAATCGGGCAGATTGGCACATTTTGTTTATAATTGTTGAACATGTTCTATCGTTTTTTATAGTTTTTTAAAATAGTTACCGCAATTTACTAACATTGATTTGACGGATAGGGTTCAATATAACAATAAAATTTTACTAACCTTTACGTCCTTTTACTTCGAACTCCGAATCGGATTGAACAAGTTCAACATTAACTGGTGATCCAGCTCTGGAATCAGCATTTCCAGTGTTTGTTAATTCTGTATCACTGAAGAAATGAAAATCCGCATCGATTTTCTTAATATTTGATTTATCCATACGGATAACACTGTCATCGTCTTTTAAGTCTTTCTTCGAAATTTTACTAAAAAATAAAAATGTTATTAAAAGGTTTTAATCTACATCAATCAACATAAAAATATTTATCAACTACAAGAGTTTAATTGGTTAAGATTATTCAACGAATATTTTTTTATTTCTTGTAAATTATGTTCACCAAATCTATTATTCACAATGGATGGATTCATTTTTACTTTGCTTTATTTGACAGTAACATTTACATTTCGTAACACACACACACACACACACACACACACACACACACACACACACACACACACACACACACACACACACACACACACACACACACACACACACACACACACACACACACACACACACACACACACACACACACACACACACACACACACACACACACACACACACACACACACACACACACACACACACACACACACACACACACACACACACACACACACACACACACACACACACACACACACACACACACACACACACACACACACACACACACACACACACACACACACACACACACACACACACACACACACACACACACACACACACACACACACACACACACACACACACACACACACACACACACACACACACACACACACACACACACACACACACACACACACACACACACACACACACACACACACACACACACACACACACACACACACACACACACACACACACACACACACACACACACACACACACACACACACACACACACACACACACACACACACACACACACACACACACACACACACACACACACACACACACACACACACACACACACACACACACACACACACACACACACACACACACACACACACACACACACACACACACACACACACACACACACACACACACACACACACACACACACACACACACACACACACACACACACACACACACACACACACACACACACACACACACACACACACACACACACACACACACACACACACACACACACACACACACACACACACACACACACACACACACACACACACACACACACACACACACACACACACACACACACACACACACACACACACACACACACACACACACACACACACACACACACACACACACACACACACACACACACACACACACACACACACACACACACACACACACACACACACACACACACACACACACACACACACACACACACACACACACACACACACACACACACACACACACACACACACACACACACACACACACACACACACACACACACACACACACACACACACACACACACACACACACACACACACACACACACACACACACACACACACACACACACACACACACACACACACACACACACACACACACACACACACACACACACACACACACACACACACACACACACACACACACACACACACACACACACACACACACACACACACACACACACACACACACACACACACACACACACACACACACACACACACACACACACACACACACACACACACACACACACACACACACACACACACACACACACACACACACACACACACACACACACACACACACACACACACACACACACACACACACACACACACACACACACACACACACACACACACACACACACACACACACACACACACACACACACACACACACACACACACACACACACACACACACACACACACACACACACACACACACACACACACACACACACACACACACACACACACACACACACACACACACACACACACACACACACACACACACACACACACACACACACACACACACACACACACACACACACACACACACACACACACACACACACACACACACACACACACACACACACACACACACACACACACACACACACACACACACACACACACACACACACACACACACACACACACACACATATCAATCAAACAAAACATTGCCTGTAGAATAATCTAGTAAACCCACCTCTGCATATCCTTGATATCAGGATCCGAGGCATTGCTATCTAAAGAACTTCTATCAGTTATGGTATCATTAGTTTCTATATTTTCTGAAATTTGACTTGCAGTCAGTTGATTAATACTAGTAGATTTCTTTGGTGCATTTTTTCGACGAACCCTTTTTCGTCTTTTTTTGTTGCTTTTGTTCTCACCAGAAGGCTCGTCTGGAGATTTAATAGGAGTTGCATTTTTTACCACGTTTTCAGACTTTGGCTCATCAGCCTACAAAATACGAAAGTTGATAAACAACCAACCATACATCAAATATAGTTTTGTTTTACCTTGCTATTTTCAATATCCAAACTATCCATTTTAAATATCGTTTCGGAAATATCATTATGACTTTTACTTAAATCATCACTGCTGTGTTTTCCAGACATCATAGATAGAGTCATTTCTTCAGCCGAATTTTCACCCATTTCTATATTTCCCAGGACTAGTTGTCTCCTAATAAAATTACGTTCTCTCATTTTGTTACTTTCGTTGTCAGCCGTGTTTCTTCTTTTGGTATAATCATTTTCTTGATTCTCCAACTCAATTTTGGCTAAATCTTCGAAACTAAGACGTCTTCCCTAGAAACACTTAATCCTTTCTTTACCAAGGCCGGATATATCCAACAGAATTTACATTGCCATTTTTCCCACTGTCATATGTGTACGTTCACCATTGAATAATCTCTAGATCCTACTGGCATATATATCAGTTAGTTTAGCATTCTTCTGCTCCCCTGTCCTATTGATACGGCATTTTTCTAGTGCCTTTAAACCCATCGAAGCCTTAGTGCGACGTTTCAATGAAGATGTATTTAGGGCGGGTTGTACAATAGACCGTTGAAATGTAACCTTACTTTAAATTGTGAACATCGTTGTATAATTATCGGTTATTATTAAAAATGACATTTGCACGTTAAATATAACCAGCTGTTAAAATTAAAGCACTTTTAGCTAAACTAAATTACAGCATTATTTGTACAACCCGCCCTAAGTATTTAGAACCAACTCCATATTTATCCGTCACTACTTAATTCGTGATGGGACCAGAAAAGACGAGAATCACAAAATATGTTTAGTGAGTAAAACGTGGGTCTTTGTGTTCATATTTGTTTTTGGAATATCCCATGCCAAAGAACTGCTACAGTTGAAGAAAAAATATTTATTTTACTGGCATGTGTTGCATGCATGCCATAGAGTTTTATTATTATATTTTTAAAGAATATTTGATAGTTTGATTATATTTAAGAATCCGGTTTTGTTTGTTTGATTAAATTTAAGAGTTTGTGCTAAGTTTATGTATATTATATTAATATACGATGATTTTGCTTATTTTAGTATTTAATATGTGTCGTACATATGAGGCAGTGGGTCCAATGTCAAATTAAAAATCTCTGGAATAATGTCACTGCGGCTTTCACAATGGTTAATAAAGAAAGGGTTAATTCCATATTATGCATCTCACTGCGGCTTTCACAATGGTTAATAAAGAAAGGGTTAATTCCATATTATGCATCTCCGGATTTGATTTGAATTTATTCAGAAGTTTTACTTACTTGAGCTTTGAACAAATTTTCGAATTCTGAGACAGGTATAGGAGATGTTGCAAGATGTTCTGGAATTTCAACGTCATCATCTTCTTCTATTTCTTCTACGAAAAATGCTTCCCCACTTTCCCCTAGTTTCATATGGATTTCTTGTGGTTCTCCATTTATTTCTATGTCCACCTATCGAATCAAAAAAATATATCGTTTATTACTGAGTATAATCAAATACAACGTTAATTAACGGAGTTCAAAGTCCTTGGTATACATGTCAAGTACCCGACGTGAACATGTGATAATTAGAAAAAATCACATTAATGAAAAAAAAAAAAAATGTTAAAGGTATAAATTATTTCGATGACATGCAATATAGGTTATTTCTTTCTATATTCAGACCAGCTATATCTATTGTTATTAAAATTTATAATGAATGCTTTTGGAATAGATGTTATCTGTTACTTCAAGACAAAGATTTGTTCTCGATAAATATACGTAATATGACTTGATTTCAATTTGTTTTTTAAAAAATAAAAATCTTTTCAAGCAAAAATGTTTCTTTGTAACCTTGCTTTATAATGATGCTGATTATAATAATGCTCATTAACGTTGTATATTTAATCTTTTTTGTACCTTTACCTTGATTATTTAGTGCAAACTCTAAATAGATAATAACATTTGCCTGATAAAAATGTGTTATTAATTGGTCAAGTGTCATATTCTTTGTTTGTTATTTCGAGTAAACATTTTTCTTTGTTACATTGCGCTATAATAACGTACATTAACCTCCTTTCTCGATTCCGTATATACCGGGAGGCCAAATAAGAAAGGACGCCGTGCCGGACATATCTATGGAACCGTTTATGCTACAAAAGTGGTCCCTAAAAAGAGCTGGAAATTATTTTTAAATTCCTAACTTCACCGCTAGGGGTCTAATGATCATGCCCAATGATAAAAGTAGGTTTTTTTTTTTATTTCCAAATTAAATTATATCAAAAATGTAAAATTCATAAACGCTGCGTTATTCCTTACGTTTTAATGTATTTTGGCTTTACTCCCGGACCTGTAACTTGGGGCAGAGCTAGTTTTTACCATGGGTCAAAAAAATCATCGGCATAATTTCAAGATATTGTCCATTGAAGGTGTTTACCCACTCATCAATACCACGTTTTCCTTTGATATAGCATTTAAAACTGTGTTTATGATCATTAAGGAGCGTATATGGACTATTGGACATATGTATACATCTTTTATAGATATGTTTATACAGCGACCGGCAAAAGTATGGAACACATCTTGAAACACGTCGATTTTTATTTTGTCACCTTTGTTAGCGTACGTGAAAAAATGCTTTCGAGATTCTGCGTTTCCAGGGTATTATAGCTACATCCCATCTAGCAAATGTTAGGAATATTTTGTTGGTATCAATAGATATCGTGACCCGATTAGAATACAAAACGCTACAATATTGAAGTAGCTGAAACGATGCTTCAACGTCCCAGACAACTGAATGTTCTATCTTTAAAAAGAAAAATTATTTTAGTAAGCAAGTATAGAAATTGAAAATATTCAGGTTAAGAGAGGAAGGTAGCAGCCATTGTCTCGAAGCTGATCTTACAAACATTTCCCCAGATAAACCACGTTTCGCTGCGAGATCTCACTTGCGGTATTTTCCAGGTCAACTTGTCACCTTCGTATATCCATGACAATAAAATAAATCATCGAGAATTCGAGGTGTCCAGGTGGATCTATATAATGAACCGGGTTTCATCAGAGTGAGGATATACTCCCGTTATTCCACAAGACATCAGCTATGGATAGTCTTTAATGAAGAGCCTATAGATAATAAGGAAAATCCAATCTTAGGTTCATATTGCACTTGTCAATCCGTAGTATATTTGGATTACGCACGATATCAACCACGTAAAATACCCTCCAACAATAATATTGGATACAATGCTATATGCTAGAGATGCCGATAAGTAAGCAGAAGTAATTAATTTGCAGTAAACCTTTAATAGCGGTGTATAAAACTATTGGCGAAGGACCACTTCAAAAAAACTAACGCGCTCAATTCGAAATCTCCGTGATGGTATTGAATCCCAAGAGCTTTTTTGCACATACTCTAACAAAAGTAACGTAATCTTTTGCTTAAGTATATCAAGAAATGTGTATTTAAAAATAAAAATGAACTTGCTCCATACTTTACATATATTGTAATGGTTCCTCCCTGGAAAGGTTAAACCACTGAAATATCCTACAACTTAAGGGTCGTGACTTTTCTGGCAACCTACAAAAACTACTCAAAAAAAAATATCATAAACTAAATAAAATAAATTTTGAATTTGAAATAAAAAAATATTCCTCTTCTTTCTTCTATACTTCTCCAACACCTGCTCCAATTCCTGCTTTTCTCTACCTCCTGCTCTTCTGTCTGCTGCTGTAACTCTTGCTTTGTATATATTGTATATATCTCGTGCTCTCAGGCTCTAACTCCTGCCTCTTTCCGATGATTTGTCGTTTTTTTAATATTTCCAATGACAAAATTTAATGACAATTTCCCCTGAGAACCCAAATGCGCTAGTTCAGTGATGATGTAATTATGGTTCCACTGACAATTAAAGTGACAGTAGATTTTTTTGAGTGCGTTTTGTTCGTTTTGTTTACCTAAATTATATCGTTTTTTTGTTTTCACTTTTATAAATATATTCCTTAAGTAAGTAGATAGCATGTTTCAAATATACAATCGTTTAGTTACCAATTACATACCTTTAAACTATTTTTTATGACCTGTAAACAATGTTTTGAAATAAAATAAAAACAGTAAAAACGTATATGTCAAATTTATTGATGTTTTTGTTAAAAGTTTGGTTAGAATTAAATGTCAGTGGAACCAAAATGACATCAAACTGAACTAGCGCATTCAAATTTCAAAATTCCACTAAAATTGACGTCAAAACCGTAAGGCCGATCCGAATAATTTAACGACGCCAACAATACATGACATCAAAGCTCCAATGACGGAATCATGACAATATCTATAAAAGATATATGCATATATCCAATAGTCCATATTACACACTCTTTAATGATCATATACACAATTTTAAATGCTATTTCACAGGAGTGGGCAGAGTAAACACTTTCAATAGCCAACATCTAGAAATCCTCGTCGACGAATTTTTTTTTTGGCTCATCGATTCTGTTTAGCAGCATGGTAAAAACTTATTCTGCTCCAAATTTCAGGCCTCGGGAGTAAAAGCCAAAATACACTTAAAACGTGCGGGGTTCTGTCATAAATTTTGACTACCCCACTCGTTTATCTATTTATCATTGATCATAAGTATTACGCCATCTGGTGCCGAAGTTAGCAACTTGAAAATAATTTCCAGCGAAATAGAAAAGTAGTCAATTTTATATTTAATTATTTTCCCAAAATTCTAAGAAGCATAGTTTCTGTATCTCGCCGTAGAATTTTTTTGGAAAAAAAGAATTTCTAACTTCGCCACTAATGCTTATATGAACAATGATAAAAAGATGAACTAGCGAGTAGTAGTCAAAATTGAGTCGCTTCAATTGCGATTTTCATATTTTCGACATAACTTAATTCGGATTTTTTTTTAACTAATTTTAACATTGGCATTACGAATTTCAAGCGATTTCTACGACTTGTAAAAATATTCTCAATCTTTATTTGGATACCCGGTATATCTTTCAGTTTTATCTCGATTGTTTAAAATTATTTAAGTACAATGTAAATTTAAATTGATTATAAATTTAGTACTCATCGTTTTAGAAATGTCAGCCATAATGTCGCCAACGATTAAATAAAGATAAGGATGAATCCAGTTTCCTGTTTCTTTCTTATTTTACAGTTCATTGTTGACTTTTATAGAAATATATTATTCATATGTTTACTTTGTAAAGTCAATATTACAAGGAGAAATCAATTCATAAAATTTTAATTTGTTATTAAAAACTGTTACCCGACAAATGGGCTTCCCGACATATTATGCGCCCCAACAAAAATCAATATTTTTTTCTTTTATTTTAATTGTTTACTCACAGACTTTTTTCAGTTTTACAGTAGGGGTGCTCTTATTCCACACATGAAAATATTAATATTTTCCTAGTATTCTAACCTGTGCGACCAGGAACCTAATATTTAATAAAAAAGAAATCCAATTTTTACACACTGACGTATTCATTCCACTTGCATCTCATTCATGTAATGTTTAACTTCTTTTCCAAAAATTAGCATATTTTTAAGGTATCAACAAAGGTTTCTCCCCTATATAGAAATATATTGCGTGCATATATTTTTTTCAGAACATTTAAATTTCCTAGTACGATAACGAATCCTACGTAAAAGTATGATTCACTTTCATTATAAATATTCAGGTTCATAACCTTGTACTTAATACACAAAGGTAAATAATAAGGCACATAATTTATGTATCTCATCCCATTCGTTTCTCATTATTATACCTATTGAAGATAAAACTTTTGTTTACAATTTTGTTATATTTATCAAAGTTCACAAAAAAAAACTAATTAAATAAGTAGTATTGTCTAGTAGTATCTAAAATTGAAAACTTTAACTGTATATACCAACTTTTAAGGTGCGTATAGATATAAGGGGCATGGGCCAACAACGGACCCGGGTTCGTCAGATATGTAGGTATCGCTTATCTATCACGCGATGGAAAGTAACGGGCCTACCCCGCGCCGGGCCAAATAGATTCAAAGTAGGCCCGTTTGCTTTCCATCAGGCGGTAGATATACATCCTCTTGGAATAACAGGGACAATGAGAACAATCCCACAGCATTAATGGAAACACTAATAGGCTTGCCATTACTTCATTTTGTGATACAAGGGAAGGCAAGATTAGGTGCTTACAGATTAGGGAAAACCTTGGGAAATCTTAACATTAGACCAGATCACATAATTATCACGAGGTTAGTGATAGAGAACGTGCTAGACATAAGAACAGATCACATAGCCAAACGTTACTCCTTCAACACTCCAGTCAGCGTTGCCAGTGTCAGTGCTAAAGTACTGAAATCAGTGCTTTTTGGCCATTATCAGTACCTCAGTGCTACCTTTTATGTTTCAGTACCTTTTTCTGTCCAAAGCATGTAGTTTAAAAAAAATTATTGTTTTGTTTTCACTGTAAAGTAAAAAA